CACTAACAAGTAAAAGGAAATTCTTTTTGGTAGAGGATAACGTTTTGCATAATTGGGGTTCAAAGTTAGCATTTCCTATCAGCAAAACATTGCAGATGTTCATCTGCTAATGCTGATCTGCAATGAGATTTGCGTATTTCATCTTTGAAAGTGCCTTTCACACAGATGGGAACTGCCAAATATTGATGCAATCCACAAGCATTTGATTTTCATTGAGTATATTAGTCACTGGGAAGGTATATATAGAATTCTATTAAATTTTTCTCTTGATATTTGCCTTATAGCATGTCATTACTTTGCATACTAATCACTTCCAATTGAAGGTTAGGTGGAAGCTCCTTATTCATACAAAGTAAATTTTGAAATATGGAAATTTCTTTTGCACTTGCATCAAGTCCTCAGAAGTGCTGCTGTCACTTTAGTTTGAGCTCACAAAATATATCTGCTGGAAAGCTGAGTGGCACGGAGGCCTCAGTTCTTGTTTTAACTTTTGACAGCATAAAGTGTATAAAGCATCTTGACATTACAGCCATTTGCCACATAATGATGGGGATACATTCTGAGAAATGTGTCATTAGGCAATTTCATCATTGTGCGAACATCACAGAGTACACTTACATGAACTTAGGTGGGATAGCCTAATACACACCTAGGCTATATGTTATAGCCTATTGCTGCTAGACTACAGACCTGTACTGAATACTGTAGATAACTGTAGCACAATGGTAAGTATTTGTGTATCAAAATATAGAAAAGCCACCACAAAAATGCAGTATTATAATCTTTTATGGGACCACCATTGTATATGGGGTCTGTTGTTGACTAAAATGTCATTTTTTGCCACATGACCAAACGTTAATTCAAAGTGTTAGACTGTTGTTGAAATGACTTCCTAGCAGTATGTTTCCTATATAAGCACTGTTTTGCCTTATAAATTTTAAGTTAAACTTATTAAGAGCAACCAAGTTTGTTGTAAAACCTAATGTCCATTCAGTGTTCAGTAACAGTGATTAAGGGTAGCTTTTCTCATTGAGAAAAATTTCAATATTGGCCTTGAGCTCAAAAATTTGCAACAATATGTTACTACTGCTAAGCCATTAAATTGTTGTGTGGTAGAGCAAATCAGGATATTCAGCTTCTATTTCTGAGAAAAATTCACAAAAC